TCTCCGAGTCACCAAATGAACATGAAATCAAACAAGTAATCGCATGAAAAGTACGAGTAATCATAAAAAAGTAAAACAAATTGCACTTAAAATGGTAAAAAGCGATTCCGGTTTCACTTTCAAAAAATGCAAAGCAGTTTTAGCACTAAAGCCGTTAGTTAGTAAACTGGTCCGATTGGTGACTAGTAAGTATGTAGTATTCTTCTTGCATGGTCTTTGGCTTTATCTGTGTCTTTGTCTCTAACATTGCCCTGCAGGGAAAGCTACTAGTTGTGAACTAGAATTCTACCAGTTTGCGTTTCAGCCCAACTAGTTCACGTTCTATCCTTTTTCAATGTTAGCGAGTGGTATTTTTAACATTGCGATGTCCTACGAGATGTCAATTGTCAGGCTATGCATCAGCATCTACTAGTAGAAATACTAGCGGCGTCATACCAATTGATGAGATTGTCTGCCAATTCATACCCCGTGAAAAGCATAAGTGTGCCTTTTTGCTCGCGACGCTCCAGCAGTCACAATGGCCGACAGAGCAAAGCACTCGCGTGGTAAGCCTGAGGTCCCAGGTTCAAATCCTGGCGCAGGGAAAATTTTTTTAATTTTTATTTTCTATTTTATATTTATTTTTTATAAATATATTTTTTTGTTTAGGCTGTTTATTGTAATTTTTAAATTTAATAAAAAAAAATATTTTTGTTTAATTTCTTTGTTTTTATAGCACAAGCATTTCTTCCTAAATGTTTTTTTGCAATGCAATTAGATCTTCAAACTTGTTATTTATTTATAAATTGAATAAATTATTTTTACTTACATTTATTTAACTTTAAAAATTTTAACCACGTCCAAGCGGCCTCGAACCTGCGATTTCAGAACCAGAACCAGAACCAGTAGTCTTCACGTAACGCCACAGCCGACATTTGTAAGAAAAGCAATTAATTGCGTTTAATTTTTGGCTTTGGCAATTCAAAAGCAGATGTCGCTGATCGCCTAAGTTCTTCGAAATTGGCGAACTGGTAGGCACATACTAGTTAATGAACTAGTATTTTTTCTAACTGGTTTGGCTTTTCACTGCAGGGTGGCTCTGGCTCTGGCTCTGGCTTTGTGCCACTGCGTCTCTGCGGCTTTGTGTCTTTGCTTTAGACTTAGTAGGTGCGGCAAAGCAGCGCTTGACTTTAGAAGCTATTATAACAGCAACAAGCTACACTTTGTACTACATAGAAGCTTTGATTCGCACTCAAAGCAATAAAATTTAAAAATTTGTATGATTTGTTTTTCGTTCGCTCTTATTGTATGTAAATTATAACTATTTTTTGCATGCTTTGATGCCGGTTAGAGCGGTTTTTTGTCTGGTTGGCCTGCTGGCTGCTTGGCTGGTCAGTTCAATCTGGCTCAGGGTTTATAAATAGCAGCTAAATGGAAGTGACATCAATTTTTCGGACACAATTTGTATTTGCCTTTGATTGGGAGCGGGCGGGTGCGGTGGCGTGAGAAGGTGGCACAGAAATTTTGGAGATTAATGGCGCCGATATTAAATTTAAATTTGGGTTACATTTCTGTGATTGGAAAAGGGCTAGTGTTTTGCGTTTGAAGCTTAACCTAAATTTAATAGAATAACCGTTACTATGCTAATGATTTAACTAAAGATAAAGAAACAAGTTTAATTTTAAAGTGACAGCTAGAAACCAGCGAATGAGATAAACAAAAATTCTTCTTTTTGTTAATAAAACAAATGGCAAACATCAGCATAAAATTCAATAGCAAACTAGTCCAATACCCGTTAAAATTTTCTCTAATTGCTTTACTCTTTTCTTTTGTTAATTTAAAATTCAAGTTTGCCAAAAAATTTTCCACAGCAGAAATCTTCTTTCTATCTATATTCTCCCCATTGGCTCTAGGTGGTAAATGAAATTGCGAAATTGTTTAAAGCTGAAGAAATGCAGCCCACGATTTGGCAATACTTATCTTGGGCGTATTCTCGCTAGCGTTAAGTGAGCTAATGGAATGAGACCTCGGCGAAATTTTTAAGTGAGCTAACCAAAACTGTTTTTGGGTTAACCACCCAAAAAATAAGTTAAAACTAAAAAAATCAAAGTTCCCGCCTTTTATTTGCCAAATTTTGAAGCAATTAGTGTGAATGGCCCCTACGAAACGAATTATCTGAGTATAATTCTGGTCTTCAAACTAAAATGAAATAATAGTTTGGAGGAGGGAATTAAGGAGGATATATCGACTTACCACACCTTCAAAAATCAATTCGGAAATCAATGGAGACTGTTGCCGTATATCACTAATGGTACGTGAACCATAGCCATTAGACCGATGGTTACCCACGTTGCGATAGTCCGGTGGAAAGCTTGACGCAAAGGATACGACAAGAACATGTTTGGGAAAAAGGAAATACTTTGGCAGTTTCGATTGCGGTTCGTCTACTAAAATAACTTCAACCAGGGACCAAGAAGGCGCGTGGAGCACATGCAATGTGTTTGCGGGATATCTCCGCCATCTTGTAAAGATATTGGTAGCGTTAAGCACCTAAGTACTTTGAGGTTAGACGCAATTTCTTCAGGGATTTAATAGCCGCCTGGCTATCTGACTGCAGCACTGATTGGGCCTTTGCGATAGCCATCAGTTCCGTCTGAAAAAATACTGAACTGCTGCACATTTCCGTTCATGGTGCAGCCTCAAAGCGGGCCAGACTTAGAGAAAACAACAACCCTACAACAACAATAAAAAAGGTGGGCTGAATGTACTAAAAGTTCAGTTAAAATCTAGCACTGACTAGATTACGCCAGTTTGGAACTTCGATACAGATTATACATATTCGTCTATACTGATTATTTAAATACGAAGCAGTGACCCGGCGCCGGTCTTTATTTGGAGAACCAGTAGATCAGTAAAATGTTTCATCTGCCGAACGACTGCAGCGTCTTTCAAGCTTAGACTTATGTTATAGAAAAGGCTACTATTCTTCTATCAAATAGCATATTATCATCCAGAAAAGTCACTATCTTCTTTGACAGCAAATCGGCCTTGAAAGTAGCGCGATCCAATTTAGTGGTGAAATCAGGAGTACGGAAATGCTGTGCCGACTTAGCATCACTGGGCGCTAAACAACGTCCTGCCTGATGAAATACCAACCTCATATTTATGGCTAATCTACAACTTACCCTGCGGCAATCGCAGCGTGGAGTAAGCAGAGGGAGCTACTCATGCTTACAAGGGCATAGCTCTCACATTTGGATACTAAAAAGATCATATCTGCTGCTCAATGCCAAGTTGCCTGCCATATTGTGAGTTGGAATACCTATAACAATTTCCTCTGAGGTGCACAGCTATCGCGAGGCTATGATTTAAATATCTTGGCTCACCCTTTATAACCAACCCTGAAAAACACTCGGGGAATGATCGTAGTCAATTTCGTAACATGGTCATTGGCTTGCGGCGCTTTATCGATATATAACGTGTACTTGATTCATAATACAACTGGCCAAGAAAATACTGAAGTTGGTCAATTGGGATAATCCTCCTTATGGGTGCATGCTCATTAATCCTCCAGCAATGTCTTTTTCTACCACTATATTTTCTGGTATCTAACTAAGCTTTATAAAAAAGTTAGGATCACAGTAGTAGGTATTGATTTCTGCAAATGGCATTTGGCAAGGAAGCAAGGGATTCACTGCTTCTCAAATGTCAACTAATTCTGACTGGAACATACAAAAATACTTTTCTTAAAATTTAGGTTCGGTCTATATATAACCAGTTTCGGGTGAATTGAGCTAATCAATCATTCCCTGAAAGTCGTTCCTCGAGGAATTGTAATAATAGGTTGGGTTAAAAGAGCGAGTATGAAGAATTCATACCTTCATACTCGCAAGTACATATATTAGCCTATTACCAATGTTATTTCGGAGTGATTTTCGTTAGTTTGTATTTCGTTAGATCTGCTAAGCGAGATCACAAATAGTTAAGTTACATTGGAAAAATTCTGGACATCGACATTAATTGATTTTTCTCCTTCTTCATCCTGACAGACTTTGCAGGGAGAATTTGTTGGTGTGCGACATCGTCGATGATCTTGAGATTTCGCCGTTTAAGTTTTTCGTTTTCTTACATATTGCTATGCGAGGGAACACTTGGAACGGTGACTCTTACATGACCTAAAAATTTAAAATTTTTGGGATCTCAACACTTTCAAAGCAGTTTGCCTTCAGCAAAGTATCAGCAGCTAAATAACAGGAAATTTAACTAGAAATGGGCTGGGATTTATCGCCAAGAATATCACTTCGCAGGATGGGTAAATCTATCGAATGGTTGAATGGTTTATTTAAAGGCAGTGAAAGCATCGAGTTCAACTTATGATAAGCTCGACGGCGCCGGAACATAAGGTTCCTAGACACCTTGGTGTCGTTTGGAGTAGTTTTAAAAGCCGCGTAGATGTTGGGTATGTCGCAGCCCAGTCTGGATAGGTAGAAGGTAAGACTACAGTATTCAGACCTTATGTAGTGGCATGAGACATGTGCAAAACATATTGATAATGTACACAACATATTGATGCCAGATACGTTAAAATATTTAATGAAATAGAATGTGTAACAACAAACACCGAAATATCAAATACATGTCTTATGCCCCTACACTTATTTGTGCCTGAGGGCCTACAAAAAGTTAGCATTTCCATATAAAATACATTGAGATAGTCAGTTAAACAGAGGTAGTTGGAACCTTATTCAACTACGATAAATTTTTCTATGGTGGAGTTTTTTGATCTCATCAAGTACTGCGAACAAAATATTATTCTGTTGAGATTCTTTTCCTCAGCAAAATACAGCTAAATGTTGAATATTATATATAATATAATAATAAATAATGATAAATACCACTAGAACATTGAACATTTTTTCAAGATAAGTAAAATGATCATCCTTTTCCTTGATATCTTAAAAATAACTTATATTTTTGACTTAATGTTGGTAAGCAAGTTTCTGGGTATTTCAAAATCTTACCATTCCTGGGGATCTCTTCGATCTCCGGCTGTACACCACTAACGCTGGGATCACGCAGATTACCAGTGCGTCGCTTGCGCGCATAAGTATGTACCGGCACGAGTAGACGCGGACGAGGAATGCTGAATTGATCGTCGGAGGCGCTATTCGTCGAAGAAGCGCTACCACGGTGTTGTTGCTGCTGCTGCTGTTGTTGGTAATGGTCGACACTCAGCGACATACCTGCCATGCCATTCACCAAACTATCTGCGCTGCGTGGTCGCGCAGGCATATCGAAATCATTCTTGCCAATGGGCTGATCAAAAGTCGCATGCGCAACGTGGTCGTTGTCGTCATCATCGTCCAACGGCACATCTACAGTTATGAGCACGGGCGTTGTTGCTAACGGCTTCTGCGGCGAGCTGCGACCATTTAACGCTGGCGCTAACCGACGTGGTGGCGGCTTGGGTGGTGTGAGTCTGCGTGCGGACAAAGGTTTCTTCGACGTTTGCCCTAAACTGCTTTCCGCAACGGGTAGACGCATGGATTTCGCGCGATTTATTGTTGCTATGCGTGGCTTGGGCTTTGGCGCTTCGCCGACGCTGCCACCAGTGCCATTCAAATTGCTATCACAGTTGCTGCTTGTTGTGGGCAGTAGTAGTGGTGTGCGTTGACGCTGCGGTTGTGTGGATATGACGGTTGGCAGTTGTTGTGCGTTGGCCGCTACGGCTTCCGACGCATTGCAGTGTGACGCAAGCGCAATGCCTGATTTAGACTTTTTAAATTCCTGCTCCATTTTCCAAATGCGACGCAAATCTTTGATATCCAGCGTGGAGGAGGAAGAGCAGTTAGACGCCGCCGAGACGCGAGTGGAGGATGGCGACGATTGTTTCGATTTGGTTGGTGCATAGAGCATCGTTTGTGAACGTTTTAGCAATAGCGCTGGCGGTTGTGCAGAGATCTGTTGACGTGGACGTTGCTGACGTTCCGCTGTGGGATCGACCACATAGTGATTTTGTTGTTTTTGTGTTTGTGTTGATGCCCGTTGTAACTTTATTGGCGTTGACTTGTCGTTGTGTTGGCGGTTGTGACGATGCGATTCTCCTCCGCTGCCGCTGCCTCTGCCGCCATCGCTGCCATTCAGCGTCGCGGCCTGCGTATCCCATTCGCCATGCAATTGCTGTGGCTTGCGGCGCAACGTTGACGGTTTATAGCCATTTAAATCTTTGATTGCCTTCACGATGCGATCATCGCGATTCTGTTGCTCCAAAGCGCTTATCTGTTCCAGGCTCATTTGGTACTTACGTAGCGTGGAAATACCCTCGACCAGATAACTGCCGCCTGTGTGTGGGTGGCGTGTGGGTGTGTACGCTGTGGTGGCGGCGTTGGTGGTTGTGGTGGGGTAGGCGGCGCTATTGTTGGTAATTGGTGTGGGTGAGCCAAGTTGTGCGGCGGCAGGATCACTGCGCGTGTTGAAGTTTTCATGCGCCTGCAGCCAATTCGCTTCGTACAACACACCCATTGCATTGTTGCCGTCCAGTGAAAGGCTGGCGTCGACCGCCTTGCCAGGGTAGCGTTTGATTTTCATGCTGCTGCTCGCGTGGCACGCGGCTGTTAGCGCGATTTTTTCACGATTTTCGTTGCACTTTTTTCACCGCTTTTGCACTTTTCGATTTTTTAAATTGAATTTCTTTATACGATTTTTTCTTACAAATTTTTGCTGCTTCTCCGTTTTACACTTTTTGCGATTTTTGCGATTACGACAGCTTACAAGAACACGTATTGAGTATTAATTTTTGCACTTATGTGTATGTAGATATTTGAACAAAATTTTGTTTTCTGTTCCAGCTCACTGCTTAGCTGCAGTTCAGTCGGTTGCGCATTCGCGCATAACGGAATTTGTGCAATTTATTGCCAGCAAGCAGCCTGTGTAACACATATGCATAAGAAGTATGCTCGTACATACCTATGTACATATATTCGTAGGAAAAATATGAACAAAAATCAACAATGTAACGCATACAATGGCGATCTACACACGTAACACATAACACGTGACGCGTCAGTGGCCTGGAGTACGTAATAGTTAGTACACAGAGGTGAAAAAAATATGTACATATGCATACATTATCGATATCAGCTTGAAGACGCGTTAAGAGCGACGAGGGTATAGCGAAACTTAAGAGGAGATATGTACGTTAGGGTGGTCCTTAAATGTAGAAGCAAAGATTTACATGACATTTCTTACGCCTCAACCTCTACATCGATGGTACTATAGTCGAATATATCACATATATATATAACATTTATATATAAATTTTGGCCCCGTTTGGAGTCGGTTAAGGCGTGTCGCACAGGGGTCAAAATTCAGATGCCCCTATGAAGACGTCTTAACCGTCTCCAATCGGGACCAAAATTTATATGTGATATCTGCGACTATGGCAGTATCGATTTTGGGTGTTCGATGAAAAAAAATTAATTTTAATTTTTCGAGCCTCTATAGAGGAATCTGGACTTTGCTCCCTATGCGACACGCCTTAACTGTCTCCAAACGGGACCAAAATGTATATGTGATATCTGTGACCGTAGTATTGATTTTTAAGGACCACCCTAATGTACACATCAATAAACATTTTGCTAAAATTTAACATGACGCCATTTTCATGTCTCAAAAATTTTCTGAATTTTAAATTAGTCGCGACCTAAGATGAATGGGTAGAGTTTGCGTGGCCAAGTCATCCCGATTCTATGATAAATTTACCGACTTCCATCCTGGTAGCCGCCGCAAGCTCTATTATTCCTGATACATGTTTGGCTACTATATTGCCCTTGACCTATTATAGAGACCCGAAGTCTTCGTCCCATTTTAATAGGCCAACAAATTTTAATTTTTTTTTTTTTTTGGAATCTGAATCTTACCTTATAATTGTTATATCACGTTATTATTATATTTCGTATCTCTTTTCGGACAAAATTTTTTATATTACTGCGAAAAAAGAAGAAAAACGAAACGAATCTGCCTCTACAAAAACTTGGTATTTTTCACAAAACTTATGTATACGTCTATGTAGAATGGTATTACGAAAAAAATACGAGACACCTATCCGATGAGTTTCAGACCAACCGATATCTTGGACGAAGTGTCTTCCTGCCCTCGATTCCCTCATCCAGAAAAATTTAGTAACTCAATACTAGATTGTCTGTGCCTAGTGGTCAGCAGCGCTATGATTGGAAAAATGTTTTGCTCGGATAAATCTCTTGCAAGTTCGGCTTCTAGGACCCAGTGCACAGACACGTTTGCTGGCGAAGTACAGATTCTACAGCGACTGAATGCGAAGTCAGTAATTTCCACAATATTTGCATGCCAGTCGGCTTTTGGAAACCACTGCAACCAACCACGAAGCTATTAGCTGCCTTTTACTTGCAATCTTTACCTGAGCATGTCACCAGCATTTGAGAACCACTTCGGGAATAGTTAACGACTATTTCTGGATCATTTCGTAATTACTTTCGAACTACCCCGAAATGATCCCGATCCTAAGTCGCTGAAAAAACGTGAACTTGTCCCGAAATAATCTGGAAAAAGTCTTGAAACGGTCCCGAAATGGTCCCTTACTAGTCGCAAAATGATCCCCAAACGCCCTTGAACTAGTCCCAAAGTGATGCCGAAGTAGCCTCGAAATGTCCCTGCGCTAGCAGCTAAAGGCTGCTCAAATAATCGTGAACTATTCCGAACCGGAGGATGGTTCCGTGCGCAGAAGTGGAAAACTTTTGACTGCCATTCACCTGGGAGTGGCCAGAAGCGATTCTTGTGCGTACGGTTCAAATCGCAGCTCACAACGTCCGAATATTTATATCCACGTATCCTCTGGGTAGCAACCAAACACCCGTTTGGGAGCGAGCTAAAGTGAGAAGGCGTAAAACCTCGCGTGCGCTGGGTTTGGGTCCCGCCACGTTAAAACCCCGCCCAATGAAAAATTCCAACAAGCCTCGGATGAGACCCCCTTTTTCTGATGACGACCACGGCAAACGTATAAAGGACTATGATTTAAGGGTATGCACCTGGAATATCCGGACCCTTAATGGGGAAGGTGCCTCTGCCCGGCTGGTTGATGTCCTCGGGAAGACAAAGGCTGACATCACCGCCATCCAAGAAATGCGATGGACGGGGCAAGGTAAAGTAAGCGTGAAGCCTTGCGACGTCTACTACAGTTGCCACGTAAAGGAGCGCAAATTCGGTGTTGGATTCGTGGTAGGAGAGAGACTCCGTCGCCGAGTACTGGCGTTCACCCCGGTGGACGAACGTCTAGCCACAATCCGCATCAAAGCTAGATTCTTCAACATCTCGCTCATCTGCGCCCATGCCCCGACGGAAGAGAAGGATGAGGCGTCCAAGGATCTCTTCTATGAGCGCTTGGAACGTACATATGAGCGCTGCCCCCGACACGATGTCAAAATCGTGCTTGGCGATTTTAATGCCAAGGTGGGCAAGGAAGGGATCTTTGGCGCCACTGTCGGAAAATTCAGCCTCCACGACGAAACGTCCGATAACGGACTGAGGCTGATCGACTTCGCCGGGGCCCGAAATATGGTAATATGTAGTACTAGGTTCCAGCATAAGAACATCCACCAAGCTACATGGCTGTCTCCAGATCGAAAAACGAGAAACCAAATCGATCATGTTGTGATAGACGGAAGGCATGATTCAAGCGTTTTGGACGTACGTACACTCCGAGGGCCAAACATCGACTCGGACCACTATCTTGTTGTAGCCAAGATACGCACCCGCCTCTGTGCAGCAAAAAATGTGCGCCCAACAATGCAAGGAAAGCTTAACGTCGAAAAGCTGCAATCACAACAGACGGCCAATTTATTCGCCACTCGACTCACACACCTGCTCTCTGAGAGCACTCTTCAACAATCCGACGTACGCGAGCAGTGGAACCACATTTCCCGATCATTAAGTACCGCCGCCGAAGAAGTAGTTGGATTTCAGCGGGCCCGAAAGAACAACTGGTACGATGAGGAATGTCAAGAAGCCGCAGAGAAAAAATATGCCGCCTACAGGGCCACGCTGCGATCGGGCGCAACGCGAGCCATGTGGGACCGTTATAGGGAACTGAAGAAGGAAGCGAGACGCATTTGCCGCAATAAGAAGAGAGAGGCCGAAATACGTGAGTGCGAAGAGCTTGAGATGCTGGCCGACAGGAAGAACGCCCGAAAATTCTACCAGAGGGTTAGGCGACTTACGGAAGGTTTCAAGACCGGGGCGAACTCCTGTAAGAACAACAATGGCGACCTAGTGACCGATACTTAAATTGTGGAGGGAACACTTTTATAACCTACTGAATGGTAGCAGCGCTGAAAGTAGTGAGGAAGACGAACCCGAGTCCCCAGTCGATGATGATGGAGTAGCTGTCCCACCGCCTGACTATGACGAGGTACGAATATCGATTACGCGGCTGAAAAACAACAAAGCTGCAGGAGCTGACGGCCTGCCAGCCGAGCTATTCAAGTACGGCGGCGAAGAGCTGATGAGGTGCATGCATCAGCTCGTATGCAGAATATGGTCAGATTAACGCATGCCCGACGACTGGAATTTAAGTGTGCTCTGCCCAATCCACAAGAAAGGCGACCCCGCCATACGCGCCAACTACCGCGGAATTAGCCTTCTAAGCATAGGTTACAAGGTCTTATCGAGCGTATTGTGCGAAAGACTGAAGCCCACCGTCAACGAGCTGATTGGACCTTATCAGTGTGGCTTTAGGCCTGGAAAATCCACCATAGATCAGGTATTCACAATACGCCAAATCTTGGAAAAGACCCGCGAGAATAGGATCGACACACACCATCTATTTGTCGATTTCAAAGCCGCTTTCGACAGCACGAAGAGAAGTTGCCTTTATGCCGCGATGTCTGAATTTGGTATCCCCGCGAAACTAATACGGCTGTGTAAAATGACGTTGAGCAATACCACCAGCTCCGTCAGAATAGGGAAGGACCTCTCCGAGCCGTTTGATACCAAACGAGGTTTCTGACAAGGGGACTCCCTTTCGTGTGATTTCTTTAATCTTATGTTGGAGAAGATAATAAGAGCCGCAGAACTGAACCGCTCAGGCACAATACTTTATAAGAGCGTGCAATTGCTGGCGTATGCCGACGACATCGATATTATCGGTAAAAACAAGGGCTACGTCTGTTCTGCCTTCTCGGGATTGGATAGAGAAGCAAAGCGAATGGGTCTGGTGATGAACGAGGACAAAACGAAGTATCTCCTGTCATCACACAAACAGTCAGAGCACACGCGCCTTGGCACCCACGTCACTGTTGACAGTTACAAGTTTGAAAAAGTAGACGACTTCGTTTATTTGGGAACCAGCATTAACACCAATAATAATGTCAGCCTAGAAATCCAACGGAGAATCACTCTTGCCAACAAGTGCTACTTTGGGCTGAGTAGGCAATTGAGAAGTAAAGTCCTCTCTCGTCGTACAAAGATCACACTCTATAAGTCACTCATCATGCCTGTGCTGGTATATGGCGCAGAAGCATGGACAATGAAAGCATCTGATGAGGCGGCTCTTGGAGTTTTCGAGAGAAAGATTCTGCGAAAGATTTACGGACCTTTACGCGTTGGTGATGGCGAATATCGCAGACGATTTAACGATGAGCT